GCTCAGGCTGGCGCTGTCCCCGCGTGCACGCCTGGCAGCGCGATGCAGACACCGCCCTCTGTCCCGCGCCTGCAGCCCGCCGGGGCCCCAGGCTGCGCGCCCCGCGGTCTCCTCGGGTTTCTGCGCGGTCTCAGGGGAGGTAGGGAGCGCGCGTGGCGTGGAGGGGAGGGGAGAGAGGAAAAGAACTAAGCCCACCGCCTCCTTTTTTACTCTAGGGTCTGCCTACCGGGGCCTTTTCCCCTCCCTTCATGTGGCTGTCTTCAAACTGTTCTCTTTTTGCCCTTGAAAGAATAATAGCAATGTCAGTAAGTGCGCTATTTTGTATCACTTGCAATCCAGACAGCCCTAAGAAGTAAGTATACTGTGTTTTTATGCTTTTCCAGAGAGAGCTACTCGGGCTCAGAGAGGGTAGCCCGGGCAGTTCAGCCCGGGCAGCCCGCTCCTCCCAACCCCACGCTTCCGTGGCCTGCTTCGGAAAAAGGTGTCGCGGGGCAGGGCTGTGACTGGAGTAAAAGCCTGGGCTCTCCTCACAGACCCGATTGGCCTCTCCCCCTCTCGAGGCCTTCATTTCCTGTCTATGAAATAAAACGTGAACTACACAGATGGACTGAAAGCTTAAAGTTTGAAGTTTTCCTTTACGGCACAAGGATTTTGTGCTGTGTTACCGGAGAACTTAACCAGGCGGTAGGGCTGCCCCTGGTTCATACCACCTTCTACCTCTCTGCCCTCTTCCTGATCAGCACACTTTGCGTTGTGGGTGCATGTGAATAGGAATTCCTTACTAAACTTGAGGAAGACCCCTGTTGTGTTGCGGGGGTCAGTTAGGTCATCGCTAGGCTGACCTTCAAGCATTAGCCTGGAGAACTTTTGGACTTCTTGCAGAAAGCAAGACAATTATTCAGCCACCCCAAGTAAGTGACAGACCACACGGCAGCTGTTAGGGGGACGCATTCACATTGGGCGCGGGGCAACCTGCGTGCAGCGCTCTGATGAACTAAGCTGGAGCACTCATTTAAAAGCGAAACTAGGCTAAGTCAGATTCTCCTCTTTGGTGGTGGCGGGGTCTTTGTCTCAACTGTTTAAAGAATCTTCTGCATGTTTTAATGCTAGCATTGTCTGTTTCCTTCTACACCTCCGTTAGCCTTTTAGACTCAGGCCTATTATTTATTTTACATGAAAACCACTTCATACTGGACCGCACATTGGTTTTTCCATTTGTTCTTTTTTCTTAATAGTGTGACAGTATCTCCACTGGTCACAAACAACAGTGATGCTCATCTCTTTTGTCTCCCTCTGGCTGGAAACATGGATTTCCATCTTCAACACAGTGGGAAGTTTACCATTTGGGGAGTCAGCCAAACTTCTTCTATTAGTTACTAATGTACAGAGGCATTGGGCATCAAACTCAACAGAAAGGAACCAGTTTACAGTTTTGTATAAATAATAAAAGAGAAATAAATGTTGCTGTGTTTGTAAATAAGAAATATAACAAATTAGCATGATTTCTTATCAGTCTGTCATTCTTTATGTACAAATGCATTAGTGATGGAATACTGCTTTTCTCTATCTTAAGTTAGAATCATTCAGAAGTCATCTAATAAATACCTACCTTGATGGATGTGGGCACACTTTAGTTGTTTAACCAATCTATATTAAGATGACATGGATCAAGAATAATTTCAGGCTGAGCATGGTGGCACACACCTGTAATTCCAGAACTCTGGGAGGCTGAGGCAGGAAGATTGAAAGTTAGAGCTTAGCCTGGGCAACTTAGAGACTTAGTGAGATCCCGTCTCAAAATTTTAAAATATTTAAAAGAGGCTGGGGATGTAGCTCAGTGCAAAAGCCCTGAGTTGAGTCTCCAACACCACACGCACACACATGCAAAAGAGAATAATTTCAAGTTAACATCTATTCCATCTACATAAGCTGAGCATTTATATGGTCCAGGCCCTGTGACCAGCCATTTCACATGTATCAATCTGCTTCATCCTCCCCAACCCTACCAGATAGTTGTTCGTATTTCTTCCATGTGAAGGATCTATAATAAATTAGACAACTAACATTTATCAGTATCAAACAACTTGCCAAAGATTACTTGGCTAATAAGTGACACAGATGTAACCCACATCTGTCTGGTAGGCTGCTGGACTTCTCAGAGCAACACCCTAGGGGCTGGCCACCCACTGACCCTTTGGGGAGAGGGGTTGAAGAGCTTTTGGGATAAGATTGGAGAAGCACTTACCTGGGCTTTGTGTTACCTTTATCAGAGAAAGTTGATTCTGCCCTCTCCTCTGAGGTTCTGGGCTGGAGCTTGCCCATTAATGGATATTTTAAAAGACAAAAATTCAGCTATACTCCCAATGCTATTTACAAATTATTTTCATACTCTACCTTAGACTTTGTCTAAATGCATGTCTTTTTTGCAATTTCTTCTTTTTTTTTGTACCAGGAATCGAACTCACAACCTTGTGCTTGCCAGGCAGGTGCTTGTGCCACTGAGCTATATCCCCGGCCTCTTTTTTGCAACTTTTTAAACATGGCTATGTATCCTACTAGACTGTAAGCTCTTTTAAAGAAGGAACTGCCTTAATAATACATGTTCCGCAATGCCAGGGATCACAAAATAGGTATACATGTTTAATGAAGAAATGAAAGGAGAAAAATGCTCAAACCATACTGTGATCTACCACTCTCCCTCAGTCAGTGGTTTTCTGTGTTTTTACGTAGCCTACCTAACTACCTTCAATGACTGCAACTGTGCACTTCTCTTCGATACATATCAACTAACCATCCCCTCGTGTCGCCATCTGAGTTGTTTCCGCTCTGCTGGAATTCTCTGGTGAGTTGGTGAGCAGAGACATGGTGAGGTGAAGAATGACCTGGGGGACAAGAATGTGGTCACAGTAGTAGATCAGATGCCCCAGGGGTGGGGAGTCAGGCAGGAGGCCATCCAAAGTCACACAGAATGGAGCTCCTGGGGTAACCAAGGCCAGGATGAGGATGACGTTGTGGGATGAGTGGGAGAATCAGCTTCTACCTCCACTGCCACACTGGGAGGTTGTCACTATGCATTCACCCCCGCCCCATGGGGCTAAACGTGTGGCAAAATGGGCACATCATCCTGTGGCTGGAAGCACTGTTTTAGAACCGTGGACAGCTCCTGGCAGCCAAGCTGGAGCTCTGAGCTGTGTGAGGCCATTACTGCTGTCATGTGGCATCTTTTTACAAATCATAGGCAATGTTTATTGAGCATATGCTCAAGGAAAGCTTTACATACATTAGCCTATCAAATTCTCATGAGGAAAAGGACACATAAAGTTTACACACTGCCTCCGAGAGTCATATAGATAGCAAATAGCAGAGCTGTGGACTGAACCCAAGTAGTCTGGCTCCAAAAGCCACCATGGCATGCATGAAAGCTAGTTAGGTTAAATATTAGAAAGGCTCTCCCCAAGAAAGAACAGACAAGGCATACTGCAGTACGTGATAAAGAGCAGGAAGGAGGGTGTCCTGGGAAAGCACCCCACAGAGAAGAACCCCAGACCTGAGTTTTGCAAGATGACTGGGGAAAGGGCTGAGGATATAGCTCAGTGGTAGAGCACTTGCAGAGCATACATGAAGCTCTGGCTTTGAGGCTTAGCACTGAAAAAAAATGAATGGAATTTAACTACAATCCAAGGGGCCACACAGCTACCTGAATCCGTGAGAGAGGTTCTGGGGTCCAGGCTAGGCTCTGCAGAAAGGAGCTGGGATGTAAGGTGAGAAGCCTAGACATTTTCTCCAAAAAGTATATTTTTTTAAAAAAGAATTTTTTTTTTTTTTTCGGTTTTTCTCCGGTACCAGGAACTGAACTCATGACCTTGCACTTGCCAGGCAGGCGCTTTTGCCGCTGAGCTAAATCCCCAGCCCCAAGAATGTTATTTATATGTATTTATTTATTGGTTTTTTTGAGACTGGGTCTCACTGTGCAATTCAGGCTGGCCTTGAGCTCACTCTGTAGCCCAGGCTGGTCTCAAACTCACAGTGATCCTCCTGCCTCAGCCTCCCAAGCGCTGGGATTAAAAGCATGTGCCACCACGCCTCGTGCTAAAAACAAGAGTTTTAAGCAAGATTTGGCAGGATAAAATTTGCATTTTAGAAAATCCATCCTAAGTTTTCAGGATGTAAAGGTAGAATCTGATTGTAGCATCTCCCTTTCCTAAGAACTAATGGAATGAACAGAAGCTGTAACTCAGGTAAAGGACAATAAACCTGTGCTAAGCAAGGTTGGAGGGAGCCAAAGAACCTTTGCCCACACCATGGGACAGTTCCAAAAAGCTCTGGTTGGACCTGCCCCTAGGAAACGAGTGAGACGAAAAGAAATGTCACAGTGACCATGTAAACATGCTCCAGCCACAAAGGGAGCGTGAGGAAGAAGATCGGGTAGGAGCTAGGAGGAAACCAGCCGGGAAGAACAGATATCTCCAAAAAACAGGAGGTCCCCAGGTAGAGCTCTGCACTGTGAGGACCTTAATAAGAAAATGAACCTGAGAAAATGAGATCTTAAAATAGCAATGATAAATGACAGAAGGAACATAAAAAAGGAGATTAGAGAGCTAAGAAAATGAATCAAAAGCTGAGACAACACCATTATAGATCTAATACATAAATTACAAAAGCCAAATAATAGGGAAGACATGACTGAAAATTGAATTAGTGGCATGGATAGAAGGCTTGAGATAATTATGGCAAATACAAAGGGGAAAACACAGAGGGAGGAAAGCAATTAGGGAGAAGATAATAAGAATATAATAAAAGGAATGAGAGACAATCAAACATAAAGATAATTGGTGTCACTAATTTGTGTGGAGAATCCAGTGAATGCAATAAAATAGCCATTCAGACGTATAATACACTTTCCTAAAATGAAGGAAGAACTGAATACTCAGAGAAAAATTTTTGCTACATGCCAGTGGGGGGGAAACCAACTTTAAATAAACATCAAGATTTCACCTGCTTGAGTTAATAATTTTCTAGGAAAAATAATTCTTTACAGATCTGGGCAGAAGACAGATCATCCTCTGGGGTGGGTTTGGTGGGCGCAAACTCAAGCAGGACACAAAGATGTTCAAACAACCTCATTGCCAGAAGACAATTAGACAATGTCCATGGAGCTTGGAAAGAGAAAAAGTATAACCTAAGAGTTTAACAACTTCCTGCAGGAATGTGTTCTCAGGTAGAAAAGACTGCAGGAAGTAAAATACTGATAGCCTTCCTGAAAAAAAAATCCAGCCAGAGGCCGGACCCCAGCCATGCAGGCACCTGGGAGGCGGGCAGCTGGCATCTGGGAAGCCACGTGATGTTGCACGCTAGCATGTGCCAGCCCTGAGCCCAGCCACTGCCACGCGTCGAGAACTATCATGGCCCAGAGAAGCAATGACACAATTGGCCGGCCACAGAGGCCCACCTGGGGATGTGCATGAATCATCCCAACATGGAGAAACCCCTGGGAATACATGCCACACAACAGGTCACTCTTGCCCCTGCTGTTGAGAACCAGAAAGGTCCAAAGTCAGCAGAGGAGCCACTGCTGAACAAGGACTCAGAGAACATGAGAATACAGACTACACCCAAAGACTTAGAGGTGTAGTTGACCTGGGTCACAAGAGCCATTTGGAAGCTGGAAACCAGGAGGACCTTGTGCAATACCTGGGGAGACCCCCTGGAAGCCAGTCTTCCCCTGACAGTACAGGCTGCAGTGCAGGAGTGTGTGGAGCTTCAGAGAGGCCTGCACCGAGATTCCTGCTGCCTGTGCTGATGGTTGGGGAGAGGACACTAAGTGGTGCGGAGTCCCAATGCACTGGGAGGCTGGAGAGAAAAAGCTACAAAAAATGACTTTCGCCCCAGATGGCTCACTTGAGATGTTAGTAAGAATTGCCTCCTCATTATTCTATAGCTGTGATGAGGAGGAGGCCAAGGAGAGAAAACAAAGAGACCCAGAAAAAGCAGCTGCTTT